CAATATATTTCAGAAAATCATTCGACTGCCTTCTCGATTGAATTTTTAGCTGAAATTCGGTATGGGTAAACTAGACTTAGTGAAGTAGATGTTCAAAAAATTTCATCAAAATCTTCCACTGGAAACCGCCACAAATGGAGACAGTAGGACAAAGCCTCCAATAAAAAGTCTTATTTGCACTTTTAATGAAAGTTAGAAGGCTTATTTGATAGTTCTCCCAACTTTGAACTATCAAAAAACACCCAATTCAGCTTTCTAGCCATTCATCGATAGGTTACCCAATTACTGCTGATGTGGAGCCTGAGGTGCTGTAATTTGTATTCTCTTCACCGTAAACCTCTATAGGAATTGATCGACCACAGCGCTACAAATAGCCTCCTTTGGCCTTTGCAGATACAATTTTGAAGAACTCCAACTTGAAGACCATGGGCTCGATTCCCATCAACACTGCTTCAATCGCCATCCATCACTTCCATTTCTAGTTAGGACTTCTTTAGTTAGCCTGGTTTGATCATCCTCAAAGACTTCTTTTTTAGTCTCCACTGCCATCAATGATGTCTTCTGGTTCAATCACCACCACCATCACAGATGTTTTGTGCTTCGGTTTCTACCGTTGGTGTTCTGCAATTAATAATAAGAAACAGCGATTTCCTAGGAAGAAGAATCGTCCTCCCCTGATTACTCGTGAAGAGTGCAGGTAGGGGTAGACCCAGTCCTGCCCAGAACCGGGTCTGGAACTGTTTGGGACCAGACCAGGTCCGTTTTGAGCAGTTTCGAGCCTGAGACCTAACTTGTCCGCCCTAGAGCAAGTTCATGGTCCCGGTTTACAGTTTTGGGACCCAACAAGGCAGTCCCGGTTTGGTTATCTCAGGATTTTTTTAGGCTTCGGTCAGCCAAAAACTAAAAAAAAAAACGAGAACCGTGTCTAGGATCGGGCCAAACCCAGAAAAAGCAATTTGGACCTGAACCCAAGGAATTGTTTTTGAAACCGGACAAGCTCGGCCCAAAACCGGGACCGGACCGACCCGAGTCCATCCTTATGTACAGGGAGCTGGGGCAACCTCCACATTAGCAGAGTTACTGTTTAGCGACCGGTTAAAATGCTGAATTGGGACCCCCTACTTTGTACTTGTTTTATTGTTCCAAAAAAGGTGGAATCTCCCACCCCAGGAGCCCCCCCACCCGACCCGACATGATGGTGGGGAGGTTAGTCACGGTGACTCAGTCAGCAGAATGGCAGTAGGCCCATACACCTGTGCGCACCAGAGGCCTAGCCTTATTTCAGGTTCTGTGACCTCCACCCGGTCGCTGCGGGGATTCGAATCTTGGTTTATTGTTCCAAATCTCGCACCACTCGACCAACTGAGCTATCCGTGCGGGTTCTTTGTACTTGTTTTAATTAATAGGTAAGGTGTTCCAGGGCAAAAACAGAAAGTGAATATTCCACTATTTTTTTATTTTTTTAAAAAAAAGAGTACAAAAACTTAATTGAGAGTTTTAATATAATACTAGTATTGTACCCGTGTGATGCACGGGAAGATTTATTTTATATATCAATGTATTTTTTTGACTCATTACATTTAACATAGATAAATAAAATGTATATAATAATAAATTTAATTTTGTAAATCAAATCATTTACCTCGACTCGAAACTTGGGGTGTGGGAATTGAATGAGAATGTGAAATTATTAGATTGGATTAAGATGATACATTTTAATGGAGACATCGAGAGTACTTCACATCATCTAAATCTATAATTCAATACCAATCACATAATTCTATTTTTAAACAACACCACTATTTTATCCCAATTTGAGAGACAAACGGACTACTTCTCATCATCTTAATCTCTTTTGACAAACTTGACTAACATAACAATTACGCTTTATGACTTGTTAAAAGATTCTCATTTTTCTTATTTGAGTGTCACATTTAAAAGTTCTCATTCCATTTTAGGAAAAATTTCACTCTATTTAATTGCACATTTGTTCAAATTTTTATTTTCTACTCATTACATGCCAACTCTCATAATTTTCCTTCCCCCAACTTATCTCCATTTAATTACTTTCACTTTACATGTTTATTTTGTTCTAAATTTTTTATTTCCTCTTTTTTAACCCAAATTACTTGATATAATCAAGTGCCTAAAATAATCTTGTCATTTACCCATGAGATTCTACCCACGGGGTGGTGAGAGTATTTATTTAAGTCAATAAATCGTATCACGTATTTTCTTTTATATTTACCTTAAAACAAATTTTCAAAGACTTAATCTTCTAACTCAAAAGCGTAAAACCTCTCCAATAATCTCCTTCCCGCACCATATTCTAGCTTTGCATGGGAGTAGTTTAAGGCATTTATTCTTAATTGGCACCATTTGAATAAACTATTTAACTTCTGTCTAGGAGATTTCAAAAGTCATAAAAAATCTGCATCTCATTTATTTCGTTTAAGCAGATTGCTCACGGTCAGAAGCTAGATTAATATGAGCTGATGGTTAATTGTGGCAACTCACGTAATACTCCGTATAATTTACCATATCAAGTACACTTCGACGGTGTTTTTAAGTACTATATACTTCATTATATTCTTAGTTAGTTATTGTAAATTGTAATGTAACTTTTTCATTTTAAAAATATATGCTGCATTATTCGTTAATTGTAATGTAATATTTTCATTTTCACGTCTGTGAATGTACAAATTTAATTATTAATGTATCTCATTCTTGATTAGTAAAAAATCAGATTTTAAAGATTTAAAGGGAGAAAATTTTGACAATATTTTTTAAAAATTAAATTTCTTAAGAAATAAAAAATTAAATATAGTCAAAGTACAACACGGAAAAAGTGTAAAATTCGACATGTTTCATGTATTTAAAAATGAGGTAACCATTTATTTTTATTTATCACAACATATATCAACCAAATTTGCTCTTAAATTATATAGAAAAAGTATGAGATAAATTCATGGTTATAGTTGGTTAAGATTTTGTCCTATAAAATGCCACAATTTTCAAGAAGGTGCGGCTAGCATATTTTTTTTAATCACATTGGTGATTTTAAGGTTTTGTAATCTATATCATGCCGGAAATAATTGAAAAGATTTAATTTAAGTAAGATAAAAAGAATAAAACAATATAATGGTCTGAACATTCAACTCATTTGTCATTTGAAATTTTAACATAAGTTGATAAGTTGTGAGGCCATATATTTTTTTGATACTTGGACATGTCGTGAGCACAATTTGCTGATCTACGCATTCATTGTTTGGGAGTACTAGTAGTGATGGATTCGGGCCGGGTCGGGCCCGGGCTGGGTCTAGGCCCGGTCGGGCCGCCGGTTCAAGAAAAGTGGGCCCGGGACCGGCCCGCGGGTTGGACGGGTCCGGTTCGGGCCGGGCCACCCGCCCGGGTCACGGGTCGGGTCCGGTTCGGGCCGGGCCGGTTAATTTTTTTTTTATAATTTATATTTTATAGTTTATAGTTTTATACGAGTATTAAAAACAAACTTCAATTGCATTTATTTGAAATGAAATAGGAACTACATTTGAAAATTAAAACAAACTTTACGAGATAAACATTTTGAAAATTGTAATCAATCGGAACTTCCTGCACCTCCCGATCCTTTGGCTTTGTCACATGACTTCATATGCTTGATTGCCATCCCGAATCCGCCTGAAGCCCCCATTATACATTTTTTTTCGCACCATTTGCAAATTGCGTACCACATCCCGGTCTTCGGGTCCTTCTGCTTATCAAAATTATACCGTATAATGGCATTTTGATTTTCCATCTTAACTTCTTGGAGAAGAGAATATGAGAGTAGATATATAATATATTGGAGAATAAGAGAATTAGAGAGTAGAGAGATAAGAATAGGAAGAATTGGAGAAGAGATGAAAAAATGTTTAAGATTAGGAGTATTTATAGGTTTTTTTTACCCCCCACCCCCCACCCCCCCACCACCCAACCCCCCGAACCCCCCCTTTACCCCACCCAACGGCTATATAGCCGTTTGGGTTGTCCCCAGCCCCACCCCCAACGGCTAGTAGGAGCCCAAACCAATTTTTTTTTTTTTAAATTGAACCGGACCCGGGCCCGACCCGGCCGGGCCGGGTCACAAAAATGCTGAACCGAGCCCGCCCCGCCCCTTCCCCCCGGTTCGGGCCCAGACCCGGTCCCGGACCACCCGACCGGGCCGGTCCCGGGCCCGCACAGTACCGGGCCGGGCCGGGTCACGGGCCGGGTGGCCCGAACCGAATCCAACCCTAAGTACTAGTAAGGAAAAGAAAAGTACATAAAGTATACTTATCAAACTAATCAAACAAATTTAATGAATGACAATCTAATGATAATCTAAAAACAAAGTACGTGCGACTGCTAAGTTAGCTATGCATAAGGATATTGTACATTTGTACCTGCACATTCATACTTAGATTGATCTACAAACAGAGATAGTTAAATCTTCGGTCATTTGGAAGCTAGGCTGATGGAGTCAATGACCGCACAAGGTGTATTCACCGAGAGGGAGACAATCATGAATCATGGCCTTGTACGAATGCAGGGTGTCATACAACCAATAAATAGATGATGCAAGGCGGCCATGCAACAATGTTCATGGAAAACACAAACGGCGCTTCGAAATTTTCAGCATTCTCACTCGGTCATCAAGTATATTTTTTAGTTTTAGTTCTGCAAACTAAACCGCCTCACTAATTAAGAAACATCCTTGACAGATTAAATTTACATTGGAATACGAAAAGACAAAAAAAAAAACATGCCGTTTTTTTGCTATAAATATGGTGTCTTTATTCTTTGAATGTAATAATAATAATCATAAGCAATTGTCTCGTTAATTGTGTTTGAAATTTTCTCTTCAACCGTGTGCAATTACATTGAAATCACTCGTGCCATTAATTTCTTGTAGTCATGTGGCACATTTATTCATTTATAAACCATTTTTACATAGATTGGCCGCCCAAAAAATTGACGAAGTCTTCCCGCCCAAAGGTTGCTGCACTATTGCGTTTTTAGTAATATATAGATAGATATGAACTTATTTGACAACTTTCTCGATCTAGATCACATTGAGACAAGAGTTATGCTAGAGGTACAAAAACTTTTACAAACCATTACTGATACTTCAGTGTTATTCAGTTATTCTTATGCCGTGTAAAGAATTATTGAGCAAACTACGAATATTTGCCATCGATAAATATGTTATACTTCGCATCATAATTAAACTATAATAATTAGGAAACCATGATATAGAATTTGATAAAAATATATTCTGATCTCCATAAGCTTTATTTATAAACCAACTAATTTCAGACAGGGGGCGTGGAGGGAAAATATATATTGTTTTGTTTTTCAACTGATTGAATGAGGTTCTTCTTTTTCACAGATGGAAGGAAGCAAAGATTGATCGTTGCACTTTGCTCCACTAGTGTTGTTTGGCAATTCCCTCTTACTTTTCTGGAGAAAGCTTCCAGCAAGAGATGATGATGATCTTGCAGCATCAAGAGCTCTAAAAAACTGCAGCCCATCACAATGATCATCTCTCCTCTTATCCACCTCTTCTTTCACTCTCTGTCGAGGAAATAAGAAAATGAATAAATAAATCATGGTGATTTCAGAGAGTATAAATTTAACCTTATTGTAGGAAGTGTTAAACCTGCAGTCATACTCCGTATAATACTACAAGTTCACATATACTATGGGCGACTCGGTGTATCATATTCACTTCAAAGTCAAGGCAAAATTGACACCAATAATCCCTACTTTTACACACTTTTCAAAAATAATCCCTACTTAAAAAGTTCATAACAATAATCCCAACTAGTTAATTGGTTCACAAAAATAAATCAACTGCTAACGGTGTTAAGTTTTCCATTATTTTTTTATTTTAAATATATTGAAGGGAAAATATATATAAACATTAACAATATTATATTTGAGTTTAATCTTGTTACTACTAAAAATTTAATTTAATATTCAATATTTTTCATAAAACACGACAGAAATATTTGAACACTACATCGTACACACTCTTCAAATTCTCTATTCCCTTTTATTCCTTATCCATATTTTATTTATATTCATTTTTGTTATTCATTATAATAGTGATTTCAAAGTAGTTTTAGTAATACTACATTAAATATTAATACAAATGATGTAGAATATTGAATATTTAATACAGATATTTCTATTATATTTTATGAAAAAATATTAAATCATCGTCACCATTACCCCAGTGCCGCAAAGGCTCCCACCTATGGTAGGGTAAGGGGGGTCGAATGTACGCAGTCTTACCCCTGTACTAAAGCACAAAGAGACTGTTTATGAAAAAATATTAAATAATAAATTAAATTTATCGTAGATAAAGATTAAACTCAAACATAATATTATTAATTTTTATACATACTTTTGCTTTGATATATTCAAAATTAAAAAATAAGGGAAAAGTTAACACCATTGGCACTCGAATTATTTTAGTGGAACAGTTAATTAGTAGGGATTGTTTTTGTGAAATTTATGAATAGAGATTATTTTTGTAAAATGTGTAAAAGTAGGGATTATTGGTGTCAATCTCGCCACGTATGGTATATTGGTATCACGGCCTCTTAAGATCAAACAAGTAATTAATGTGCTACGATTCAAAAGAGTAAATGAATTAAAATTAATATGGTCCAAGGAGCCATCATTTTTTACAGGCTTTTTAATTCATCTCATCATCTCACACCGGCCAAATATAATACAGAATACTAGTATAAAATATACTCACAAAAAAAACTTTATGCTACTGTTCTTATCACATTAAACTTTTAGGATGAAATCAAGGTTCAAAATTGCGTATTGCGTAGTCATGGCATTTTTTTTAAATTGCATATTGTGTAAGCCTCATTGCGCAATGAGGCGCTGAGGCGTAATACACACACACATATACATATAAACACAATAAAAATAAAAAATAAAAAATATTTACTCACCCAAAGTTATCAAATGTCATATTAAGACAAATTATAGTGAGACCATATTCCTAGCAAAGTAAAATGTTCAAAGTACCACAAGATAGCAAACACTCCTGAACTGTTATCATAACAAAATTCCTAACATATTAAAATTTCAAGTTTATTAGATTGATGGCTGGAAAAACAAATCATAAAAGTTTGAAATGCAGAAAATGCTAAGCATAAAAGTTAAGAATTGGGTCGAGTGAGCCCAAATAATACCCTTACATCCTAACCTCCTATTGCGTACGCCTCTCAACGCCTTATTGCGTATGCAATATTGCGTAAGCCTCACTGCAATTACAAACAATGGATGGAACTCAATTTTTTTAAAAAAAACGCAATACATAGGTTTAGCCAGAAAACGTACTCAATATTTTGTGCATCTTAAAAGTCCAATGTCCTATCATTCTCTAAGGTCTAAAAAAACTGCATTTTTAGACTTTGTTGTGATTAATGCAGGGTTAGTACTTAGTAGTGAGGGTGCTACATGTAAAAATCAGATACTTTTTCAAACACAGGCAATTCATAGAGTACTTGTTACTTGTTAGTTCTGAAGCATTTTTTTTTTCAGAAATTGATTTTCAATTTTGATCTCAGGCTGGTCTCATTAATTCAAGCCAGCAGAATCCAGAGACAAACTGTATCAATACTAACCTGTACCAGCCGAGGGTCAAATTTAGAATGTCCCATTTGCCCGACAGTCAGCGACCCGAACAAGTTCCCCAATAATGCAGAATCGGGCATGGTTAACCCATGAGTAAGTCCGGTTACTAATCCACCCAGAAAGCTATCCCCAGCTCCAGTTGGATCAACTTGAATTGTAGGAAATGGTGCAATCTTTAGCTCTGAATCCTTAGTGAACACCATGCAGCCCTCATTGCCATTGGTCAGCACCACACAACACCGTTTCCTCACCTCCTCCACATCCAAGAACGGTGCCTCATCTGATGAGGCCTTCAGAAATCCTATTCTAGGGAGTAGATAAAAGAACCCAGTTTGGTTCAGGTCAACGTGGTTCACTGTTCCGTCTGCTGGGTCAAAGATCCGAATCAGCGCTTGGATATCAACAAGGACTGTCTTACAGATATCGATCATCCGCTCGAGGGTTTCGGGTAAAATCTCCCCGCCAACACCGACGGCCAACCCGAAATCGAATTTTGAGCTAGGGAGATCACAGGGAAAGATCGGTTCGCATGCCCTAACCCGCTTGAGAATCCGATCCTGGCGCGTGATTTCAGATGAGAAATAGGCATGGAATACAGTCGTTTGCGAAGAAGATGAAACCAGAGGCCGGTGGGTAACGGGATAAGCAAAATCAGGGCCCACCTTGGAAACATAACATGACGCGACATTGAATCCATCGAGCACAGAAGAGATAAAGGAGGTGGCGCCCCCGATGGATTTTGCGATCACGCTGTTATCTTTGATCAGAACATCATGGCAGTAATTCCCGACGACAAGGCAGGAGTAGCGACGGGTAGATGAAGATGCAAGGTCTGTAGCATTCAACTGACCTTGATCCATGATAGGAGAAGGCCAAGTCTGTCCACTATCGCTATCCTGAAGGATTACATGCCTTGTATCATCACCTGTAAGATGTCATTTAAATTAACACCAGCAAGCATAAAAAATACATTTAAATGAAGCATAAATTGGTTCCTCCAGTTTGTCATTCTTAAAAATGGTTGCCCTAAAATAATCACTTCATATGCAAACAATTACCAATCAATGATATGAAATCATGAAATTCTCCGAAAAGGATATGCCTTTATATCAGTAGAAAATACGATCTTTCCCATACAAAAAACACACACTTCTTCATAATACGGGAACTTTTTAGTATTGATGGATGTTTCGAAAATGCCATATATATTAGTGAAAATTACCTAACTAGAAGTAAAACTAGGTGAAAGTGAAAAAATAGGAGTGCTACGTTTCCGTGCATTCGTATAGGAGTAAAAAGTCAACAAAATTCCGAATACGCCCTTTTAAAGACTTGACTTGAAACAGAAACCTCCCGGTTTCTTCTAAATTAAGGGATGGAAATCATGGAATTCTATATCCAGGTCTGCAAAGTAGAGAGAAGAGGCGAAAACTAGAAGTTTTCAGCGGCAACAAAATGCACTCTTTTGAAAGCTTGAAAGAAACAAAGCAGTTTATGCTCTGCAACTTTTTGTTGCTTGGCAAAATTTGATTTGTTGTTGACAATCTACGACATTAACTTTTTGAAGTTTTTGGCAATGGCGGTAAAACTTAAGGACAGAGGTGAAATTCAATTTCCACCGAATTAATAGAATGATATAGAAAAATGACGAATAAATCAGCAATAGCTAAACACCGCAATGTGCAGGTGTGACTATGAAAAATGGTATGCTTGTTGTCTGAAAAATGACACATGGTTATGCTTGTTGTGTTGATAGCTTTAGCAGTTTCCAAAATGACAATTATTTAGCAGTCTTTACATACAGAAGTTATCTTTCTCTAAAAAGTAATGACGGGAATATTGAAAGTGGCAGTTTGTCATGTTTCTTCCATTGACAACTTTGACAAACTGGGAACAATATAATAGGCAAACGGGTGCGAACGTGACATACTGGGACCAATTTAAAAGGTAAACAATTTAGAATAATGTGGCAGTGAATGCGGCATTTATCATAAAAAGATGGCATTTAAGAGCTTCAAAAATTACAAAGGGTAAGTTGAAATCCTAAACAGGTGGCAGTTTTAAAAATATTACCTACATGGCATATAGAAAACTGACAATTATGAGGCAGTTTGCACATGAAGAAGTTATCATGCAAAATGAAGTAGTTGTAAATTGAAAATGAAAGTGACAATTTGTTATGTTTCTTGCGCTGATAACGTTGGCAATTTGGGAAAAAACTAATAGGCAAATAGGTATGGGTGTGGCATTTTCAGATCAATTTCATTCGTAAAAAACTTAGAATGTGACCGTGAATGTGACATTTATAACAAAAAGATGGCATTTAACAACTTCAAAACTGCCAAAGCGTAAGATGCCATCCTTAGCAGGTGATAGCTTTTAAAGTAAACCTATATGACAGATCAATAGCTATGAAATACCTTCATACAAACAAATAGAAAATATGCATAATCAAGTATATTAATTAGAGATATGACTCTTTAATTAGTTTAATTTGTGATTTTGTATCGATTAGTTGCAATAACAAAAACAATTGTTATGGTAGTCAACCAAATAATCAGATGCAGGTGAATGTGCAGGTTATGGAAGTATGGAGCAATGAATTTCTATGAAGAAGTCTGGGAAAACTAAGAACAAATGATACAACATCAAATTTATGGTGAATGTTTATCGTGTAGGCCCTGACCAGAAGAGAATTATACTTCATAAAATACAAAATAAAAGGAAAAGACATCTGATGGAGGACAGTAAAATAGCAGAAAACATTTAATACGAAGTAGATAAAATTAAGAGACATCTAATGGAGGATAGTAAAGTAGCAGACAATAGGGAGTAGAGTAACTAACTAAAAATAAAAGCTGAGGAAAGAAAAGCGTTGAATGAGTGAGAGGAGAGTGACAACGGTTAAAGCTGGTGAAGTGAGTACTGTACGAAACAGTGGAGCTGGGGTTATATTATATTTCAGAATCATATGAAAAGTAAAATGGGGGTATATGACTCCTATACTGGGAATAATACATACTAACTAATGCACTTACACAAGGTTTTAATCCTACTTAGGGAAATTTCATTTCAATTTTCAATATATATTAATCAAACAAATACTTTTGTATATTAAGGATTTTTTTATTTGGACTGAAATTTGCTGGTCTGATCTGGTCTGGTCTGAACCGGTCTGGTATATTTAAGTCTGGTCTAGTCTGGGGTTGAAAACAGTGCAAGTAAAAACATCCTAATAACATGATCACTAGTTCACTACTTTCTCAAAGAAGACGCTTAGCATAAGCCAAATTTTCTACCAAAAAAAGCAAACGATGTAGTCTTTTGAGGTTAGAACAATGCATAAAGACGAAAAATAGGTTAATTTTCTCCTAATCTATAGAAACATTACCTATGTTTGGAATGAACAAATAGTCTTCGCATGATTAGCAAGACCATGCTGCAAACTCCATAATAACACACGCAAATAGTCATATGATATGAATCATCACTACATTAAAGCTTGATCCACCAAATTCGAAGACATTCTGAAATGATAATCAATAACAAAACCCTAAAAATGACAGCAGATGGGGAACCAATAATCACAAATGCACACTGAGCAAGAGAGAGCGTACCTTTATGGGTGAAGCTGTGACGCTTCTCAGGAGCCAAATTATCAGTCATTTGTTTCCAGGTTTCGAACTTCTATATGCAGCTCCCCTATTCCTCCCACGATTGGCTCTGGCTTGATTCCAATACCATCCAATTTTCCGGAACAGGATCTAATCGGGTCAGAAGTTTAACAAAGACTGTAATTGTAGAGCGCAATTGATCTAGAAGAGCCGAAATGAAACTGTGTTGGCAGTTACAGGCAAAAGAAAACTAAGGCCATTACAAGTTTAGAAGAAAGAGAGACCGAGTAAGCAGAGAAAATGAAGACAAAACAGCGGATGTATAGGTAGAGCATGCATATGTGCGATCAGAGCATCCCAATTCACACGCAGAATGGGAACTTGATGCTTTTCAGAATCGGTGGGGTGAGGATATTATTGCCAGTTCACGCGCACTCACGGGAACTGGGAAGGGAAGAAGCGAACAAGAAGCGAGTGTGAAGGGATATTAACCGAGTAATAAAACAGGAGTTAAAAGTTTATAAATAGGAGTAATTGTAAAGGGATGGTTAAAACTCACAGAAGTACCCTCAGAGATGCCAGAAGCAATCATCCATTCATGCCTCGCCGGCAAAGATACTCAGCCATCTGGCGGTCGGATTTATCTCGTTCTCGTGGATCGCAGGTCACCGCCCCTCTGCCGCTGAGGTCGCCGGTGCAAGTCGTTACCCGAGTCTCCCCTCTTCTTACCAAATAAGGTACTCCTTAGTTTTTGTTGCGAAATGAAGAAGAGACTAAATTTATGATATACATATATGGAGTATGTAGCTAAAAACCTTTGAATTATTTTTTAATATCCGATTTTTTTTGAATTGAGTTTACAAAGAATTGAATCATCTAGGAATTATTCTACACAATTTGCTTGTAATATTAGATTTACCCACCTGTTTAATTATGATTACAGGGATATGAATTAGATGAGTAGACTCATTACAAGGATCTGGAGTAGCTTGGTGTCCTAATGACAAGGATGAACATTTCACACATGTTTTTCTCAGGAATTTATAACACTCCCATTGAATGTTCATCATTGAATATGTATTTATTATGTTAAAAACTTATTGTGAAAAATTAGTGTGAAATTAAAGGGGTAAGGATTACGACTTATAATGTCGTTGTATTTGAATATATTGTCTCGTTAAAGACCTTATCAGGAAAACCCAGTGGAATAAAAATCCGATGAAGGAAAAAAGAGTTCAGTGCATTCAATTACTCCCCCCTGAACTTAGGCTAAATTTTGAAGGCGGCGCATGCCGATTTTCTGTACAAGTTCTATGAACTTCGGGGGTAAAGTTTTGGTGAAGAGATCAACCGGATTTTCACTGGATCGGATTTGTTGAATGTTGATCAACTCTTCTTTCTCCAGATCATGAGTAGAGAAGAATTTTGGTGATATGTGTTTTGTTCTGTCACCTTTGATGTAACCTTCTTTAATTTGAGCTATGCACGCAGTGTTGTCTTCATAGATCAAAGTAGGATGACAAGTAATAGGCTTCATACCGCATTCATTTTGGGTGTGTTGAATCACAGATCACAGCCACACACACTCTTCCGATTTCATAAAGTGCAATTAACTCGGAATGATTCGATGATGTAGCTGTCAATGTTTGCTTCATAGATCTCCATGAAATTGTGGTGTTACCATAAGTAATTACGTGTCCAGTTTGTGATTTTGCCTTTTGAGGATCTGATAAGTATCCAACATCTGCATATCTGATTAAATGTGCTTTTGCATCTTTGTGGTAAAATAGACCGAGATCAGGTGTACCGCAGAAATAACGGAATATGTGTTTGATCTCGTTCCAATGATGCCTTGTTGGACATGAGTTGTACCTAGCTAATAAATTTATAGAAAATGCAATATCTGGTCTAGTATTATTAGCTAAATACATCAGTGCTCCAATAGCACTCAACGCTCCAATGAACGAATGTGGTTTAATCGTCTCAGTGAAGACCATTTCTGAGTGCTATTGGAGCGCTGATGTATTTAGCTAATAATACTAGACCAGATAAAATGCGCTCCCAACGCTCCCATTTTAATAATTAGCTACATTACTCTTCACTGAGAAATGTAGTTTCCATAGCACTCAGTGCTCCCATACAATGACTTTTGTAGTTCAATGGAAAACATGTCTCGAGGTTTCAAGCTGTAAGCTTCAGGCATTTTAATCCTCCGGGAACTTTCATATAAATGTTTGTATCGAGTGAACCGTATAAATATGCAGTTACTACATCCATTAGGTGCATTTGTAGCCTTTCAAAAACAGACATGCCAATGAGAAACCTTAATGTAATTGCATCAACTACCGGAGAATATGTTTCTTCATAATCAATTCATGGCATTTGAGAAAATCCTTGGGCAACAAATCGGACTTTATGTCTTACGTTTTCGTTTCTCTCATTGCGTTTACGCACAAATACCCATTTAAAACCCATTGGTTTTATGCCTTTTGGTGTAGGAACTATCGGTCCAAAAACATCACGTCTTTCAAGTGATTTTAATTCAGCCTAAATAGCTTCATTCCATTTTGGCCAATCGTGTCGTTTCCGACATTCTTCTATTGATGTTGGCTCATTGTCATTGTTTTCATTCATAACATTTGTGGCAACGACGTAGACAAATATCTCATTAATATCAACATCTTTTCGATTCCATTGCATTCCAGTACAAACATAATTTATTGAAATTTTATAATTATCAACGTTTCTATCATTATCTGGAATATCTTCCTCATTTAAGGAAGTTGGATCATCATTTGAAATGTTTATTTTGTCAATATCATTTTCTATGTCAGTATTTTCAAATTGTTCATTTTCTTGTTCAGAAGGATGAACACCTTTGGCATCACAGATTAATTCCTGCCTTTTAGTTTTTCTTGGTTTTATGTCTTTTGATCCAAGTGGCATGTCACACTTTTTACGTATAGAAGAATCATTTGCAAGAGATTTTTCAGAATTCTCTGTCGGGATTTCGATTCTGACAGGGGCATTCATAGCAGAAATATGTGACTTTGTCACTTTCTTTGTGTCTGTGAATGCATCCGGCAACTGATTTGCAACATTTTGTAAATGAATTATCTTTTGAACTTCTCGCTCACATATATTTGTTCTTATATCAAGATGTGATAATCCTATTGCATTCCATGTAATTTCTTTCGTACTTGAGTCTAATTTATTATTCTCTCCTCCAAAGGTCGGGAACACTGTGTCATTGAAATGACAGTCTGCAAACCGTGTGGTAAATAAATCACCGGTCATCGGTTCAAGTTATTTTATTATTGAGGGAGATTCAAATCCAACATAAATTCTCAACCTTCTTTGAGGACCCATTTTGTACGCTGATGAGGTGGAGCAATCGGAACATAAACAGCACAACCAAATATCTTAATGTGTGCTAAGTTTGGTTCTTGTCTAGTAACTAATCGCATTGGAGAATATTTATGATATGCAGTTGGTCTAAGCTGAACTAAAGTTGTTGCATGTAAAATAGCATGTCCCCAAGCTGATGAAGGTAAATTACATTTCATTAATAATGGTCTAGCGATTAATTGTAATCGTTTAATCAAAGATTCAACAAGACCATTTTGTGTATGGACATGAGCAACAGGGTGCTCCACATCAATCTCAATCGACATACAATAGTCGTTAAATGATTGGGATGTAAATTCTCCTGCATTGTCAAGTCGGATTCTCTTTATAGAATGATCCGTAAAATGAGCTCTTAATCGTATGATTTGAGCAAGGAGTTTAGCAAATGCTAGATTTCTAGTCGATAACAGACTGACATGTGACCAACATGTTGAAGCATCAATCAACGCCATAAAATATCAAAATTGTCCACATGGTGGGGCTATCGGTCCACAAATATCTCTTTGAATACTTTCTAAAAATGCAGGTGATTCAGTTGCATTTTTTTTCATAGAAGATTGATGATCATTTTTCCAAGAGAACATGCCTTATAAGAAAAATCTATTCCTTCTTCTTAGGAGTAACCCTTAGCTACCAGCCTAGCCTTATTCCTTACAATGTTTCCTTCTTCATCTGCTTTGTTCTTGAAAGACTTTCAGATGCTCCTTTCCATTGTTAAGAATGTAGCATTTGCATCCAAATACATGAAAGTAACTGATGTTAGGTTTTCTTCCTTTGTTCTTGAAAGACTTTCAGATGCTCCTTTCCATTGGTGATTCTTGTTGATCATACTTCTGTTCTAGGTATAGCATGCAGTGTTGATTGCTTCAGCCCAGTATCTCATTGGTAGTCTAGATTGTGCAATCATTGTCCTTGCAGCTTCTTTCAGTGTTCTGTTCCTCCTTTCTGCTACGCTATTCTGTTGAGGGGTTCTGGCGGCAGAGAGTTGATGAAAGGTTCCATTTTGATCACAGAAGTCCTTTATGACTTGGTTGACAAACTCAGTTCCTCTGTCAGACCTGATTGTCTTAACATTCAAATTCTTCTCAGTCTGAAGTTGCTTTAACAGAGATGGCAACTTCTGAAGAGTTTCATTCTTCTTTGACAAAAAGATAGTCCATGTATATCTGGAGTAGTCATCAACCATGACAAGGGTGTACTTCTTTCCACTAACACTTGGAGTCTCAACAGGTCCAAATAAATCCATGTGGATCAGATTTAAAGGACTTGTAGAAAGATCTCCAACAATGGGTTTGAAAGAGTTCTTCTGTTGTTTTCCCTTCTAGCATGCACTGCAGAGGGTCTCTTTCTTGTATACTATGTGTGGCAGTCCATCAACAATGTGTTCTCTTGCTAGTTTGTTGATTGTTTTGAAGTTCAAATGACTAAGCTTCTTGTGCCAGTCCCAGCATAGTTTTGAATCTCCCTTGGCTATCAGGAAAACTCCATCCTTTGCAGTTTTCCAATCAACCACACAGATGTTCTTCTTCCTTGATGCTGTAAGAACCACTTCCTTTGTTGTTTCATGCTTCACATAGCAGAAGTCCTTTGTGAATTCAACAGTGTAGTCTTTGTCACAGAATTGGCTAGCACTCAGTAAGTTGAACTTCAGGCTTTTGACATATGAGACATCATCAATGACTATCTGGTTCTTGATCAACTTCCCTCTTCCTTTTAATTGACCTTCTTTGTCATTACCTCCAAAGGTAACTCTAGGTCCTTTGCATTTCTGGAACTCTGTTAGGCAACTTCTGTCACCTGTCATGTGCCTGGAGCATCCACTATCAATAAACCATTCTTGCTCTGAGATAGCTCCAGCACACAGTTCCTCATCATCAGAATGAGCCATAAGGCATAGGTCTTCTGCCTCAGTATCAAGGCAACAGAAGGCCTCATCAGAGTCGGAGTCAGAACTGGATTCTGTCTCAGATAGAGGGTCTTTTTCGAGCTGTTCTGTGACGAGTGCTTTCCTCCTTCTGGTATTGTCATCATATTTCTTCTTTTCTCCATCATGCCTTTGTCTCTTGGACACTCTTGGATGTGGACAATCTGCTTTGAAGTGTCCAGACTGTCTGCAATTGTAACAGAGAAGCTCTCCACTGCTCTCTGTTGCTTTGACCTTCTGGAATGGCTTTCTGCTGGATGATGGACTTCTTCCATCTTTGGGATTCTTCATAAACTTCTTGAATCTCCTAGCAAAA